TTATTTTCTAAACCTTTAAGGACACGAGTCACCAAACTTCTGTCCTAAATTTTTCAAAATATAAATAAAATGTATAAATTTATGAAATGATCAAAATCTGACGAGTTTAAAAAAAAATCATGAAATGAACAAAATTTGATGCTTCAAATCAAAAAACATATTCTAGAGAGAAAATTCTGCTAACTATTATTAATGTGAATTATTTTGGTGAAAATTATTTATCATAATTAATACATATTTATCTTCTTCTTTTTTAATCTTGCTAACCATTATAGCATTTTTCACCATGTAAATTGACTATGCTACATTATTAAAATAAAATAAAAAATATAATGTTTTTTTTCTGTGTACTATAAAGCATATATATATATATATATATATATATATATATATATATATATATATAGGTTAATCGATTCATGGTGGGAATTGGGATGGTGGTGTAGTGTTTCACCATGTGGTTTCAGAGACCATGATGGTATGGTATGTAACAAAAAGAAAAAGAAAAAAAAAAGGAAGTGTTACGCACGTAAGCTAACAATTTTTAGTTGGTGCAAGTCGACATATCACCACTCACTCTACATCTTTCTCCAAAGCCAAACCCTAAAGTGATCAACTTTAATATATCTTCCCTTTTTTTTAGTTGAATATTTTTTTTGTATTACATTAACATTGAAATGTTAATTTTCCAAAAAAACAATTAGAAAAAAACGCAGCACCATTCTATTTAAAAGTCAGAAAGACTCCTAGAAATATGAATTTTAGCTAGAAAATCTCCAAAGAAACAAGGTTTGTTAATTATTTATTATACATTTTTTGGTTAGTGATTTGAATTTGAGTTTGGATGATATATACTTGGAGGAAAGATAATTCCCTAACGTTGAACGAAAAAAAATTCTTAAACGAGAATATGTTAGTCTCCTATGCATGGACATTGGATTCTTAACGTAACACATAATATATTGGATGTAATTTTATATTTCGATAAACAATTTGAAATATACTTGTTTTTAAGAAGAGGAAAATGCAGTAGATGAAAATCAAAATGTTATATATATGGACCAAAATTAATTATTGCCGATAGTGTTCTATTATTTTCACGTATCCATATACTACAAACTCCCTTTTTTTTTGCAATATGCTTGTCCCAATCTATTTTTTAAGTAAAGGAGTAAAAGACAAATTCCTAAAAGAGAAACAAAATATCCGTTATTGGTTTCTACATGCAGGGTATCTTTTAAAATGTTATTTTTATATTGAATAAATCTCATAAGAAATAAAGTCTAGATAAAAAGTAGTTGAGGATTTAAAAAGGTATTTAACAAACAAGATTTATATAGCAGAAACGTACATAGAACGTATTCTCTGAAGATATATATTTACTCGGTTTTTGAAAAAAGGTAGTTTGTTTTCTAGGAACTAAAAAATTAGTAAGTTTTGGCGTTTTACAAATATGATTCTATTTTAGAATACACATTAAAATTTAAAACGTGTATTCATTAAATTTGTACATGTAGAGAGGCGTGTGCTCCCACCCAAATATATGTATACATTGATAGAACTTCTACTCAAATAAAAGCCAGATTTTGTGGTCTAAAAGCTTTATAAATATAGTTCCTCACACAAAGCATAACCTTACCTCTTCTTCTCTCTCTCTCAACACGCACAGACACAAACACAAGCTTTAATATACTCTCTTTGATGGCTGGAGGAGAGAAAAGAAGAGGACTTAGCAAATCTTGTGCTCTTCTTATAGTGATTGCTGGGATAGAGAGATATGCATTCAAAGGAGTTGCATCAAACTTAGTGACATATCTAACTGATGTGGTGAAGATGAGCAATTCAAGAGCAGCCACGACTGTTAACACTTGGAGTGGCTTCACTTTTATGTTGCCTCTCTTCTCTGCTCCTTTCGCCGATTCTTATTGGGACAGATTCTTCACCATCCTTGCTTCCTCTTCTCTCTACTTTGTGGTAATTATTTCTATACCCACTTTTTATTACTAATCAAGAGTCAATTCAAGAATTGCTTGCTTAATATTAAACATGTTAATCAAATGGTCCCTTTCCATTCCTTGTTTTTACGAGTTTCCTTTTTCTATAAAAAATTTTCTTATAACAAAGGAGAGTAATTGAAGCCCATCAACCCAAATTTTGAAGGAGATTTTCTGACGCAGATCCTAGCCTTAGAGTTGAAAGTTTTTTCTCGGATTTGTTTGTTTATGCATGATGTCTAATTGATCATGTGAACCTCTTCTTTAATTTGCGCACTTTTATGAGGTCTATTTGCTTGAATAATGGAACCTTTAGGACTTAACACAAAACGTTTCTTGATATATTTTTTTGTCTTTTCTTTATGTGGTTTGGTACCAAGCATGTGAACATTCGATGCATTTTCCCGATAAAAAAAATAAACCTTTCTCACCGACTATTTTCTAAACTTCCTTTTGAGAGTATTATTGGCCGGTAATGGAATTTGAGATATTGTTGGTAAAGTTTGTTTCCATAATGTGATATTGGGGATCTTATCAGAAATAGTTAAGCCTAGTGTATAATCAACTATAATAATGGAACTCGAATCACTCCTCACTAATCTTATTTATTCTCCAGCTCGAAATCTTACATGCATTATTAAAAAAATAGTATTAATAAAAAAAAAATAGCCCATAATTGTAACCGAATTTTCTTCATGAAATTTAAAAGTAGTATTTTAGTGTTATTTCAAACTCTTGTTTATGTTGTTAGGTAATTTATTTTTGGTAATTACGTAAGTTACTAATGTTTGTTTGGCTTTTGGTTGGGTATTAAAAAAAGGGTCTAGTGGGATTGACATTTACGGCATATGCTGGGTCACGTTCCACTACAAAAACCATCTCTCTTTACTTCCTCTACACTTCACTCTCCCTCGTCGCTCTTGGCCTTGGCGTCTTAAACCCATCTCTACAAGCCTTTGGTGCTGACCAGCTCGACCACGACCTTGACCAAGGCCATGACCACGAGCCATCCTCAGAGAACAAAGAAGTCAAATCGAACCGCAAGACTCAGTTTTTCCAATGGTGGTACTTTGGTGTCTGCGCCGGTAGTCTTCTAGGAGTCACCGTCATGGCTTATATCCAAGACACGTTTGGTTGGGTTATCGGTTTTGCAATCCCAACTGCTTCGATGTTGTTGTTGATCTTCTTGTTCTTGTGTGGCTGCGGGGTTTATGTCTACGCTGATCCAGACCTCAAAGCTAAACCATTTCAAAGGATATTAGAGAGTATCAAAGAAAGAGTGTGTGGAAGAAATAAGATCACTCTTGTGAACGACCACGATTTGAATGCTATGGAGCTAGAGTAAGTTATTTTACTTTTATACATTCAATCCACACAAACAAAATATTGGTTTATGGATTTGTTAAACCGCATTAAACACCTCTAATATAATGTCTTGCTTTTGTATTGTATATATAGGCTGCAAGATCAGAAGCCTCTATGTAACTGTAGCAACACTGAAGCTAATACTACTACTACTACCAAGAGTTTACCTGATGATCATAAAAGCTGCAAAACCGGTTTCTCAGGGCTTGAAACCGTCAAGCTATTGCTTCGGCTTTTACCTATATGGACGATGCTTCTAATGTTTGCAGTCATATTCCAACAACCCGCAACCTTTTTCACAAAGCAAGGTATGACTATGAAGAGAAACATCGGACCAAACTTCAAAATCCCACCCGCAACGCTACAAAGCACAATCACTTTATCCATAATCCTTCTTATGCCCTTTTACGACAAAATCTTGATACCAATCGCCAAAAAATTAACGAAAAACGAAAAAGGTATTTCCGTCAAGGAAAGAATGGGGATTGGGATGTTCCTATCCATCATCGCCATTGTTATTGCCGCGTTAGTCGAAAGAAAAAGACTAAAGATAAGCAAAATGATGAAGACTACACCGAATTTGGATCCGTTGAGCATATTGTGGCTCCTACCTCAATACATTCTATTGGGAATATCGGACATTTTCACGGTTGTTGGAATGCAAGAGTTCTTCTACAGCGAGGTTCCTGTTAGCATGAGAACAATGGGGTTTGCTTTGTACACAAGCGTTTTCGGTGTGGGGAGTTTTGTGAGTGCTGCGTTGATTTCGATAATCGAGACTTACTCGAGCTCAAGAGGCGGAAAACATAACTGGTTTGCAGATGATATGACGGAAGCTAGACTTGATAACTATTATTGGCTTTTGGCTTTCACTAGTGCTATTAGCTTCTTGATGTATATTGTTATTTGTAAGCATTTCAAGAGTAGAAGTGATGCTGATGATCAATGTGATACAAATTGTTAATAAACTAAAGAAACACCTCTTTTTAAAGTGTGCTCAAGACTCATTTAATATTTATTATCTAATATGAGAACCATTGGATTTGCTCTGTTTCAACCCTCTGTTTTACATAACTAAAGACAATTGTTTTCTTTTAAACTACTACACCATTATTCAATTTGTTGGCCTGATCCATTTTGTCACATACAAAATATTATCTATTTTCTTTCGTCGTATTCATTTAATGATTATATAAGTATATTCTGTGCAAGTAAATAGATCAAGGCGACAAAAAAGAATGGATTAGGATTCTTGAGCAGAAAGTTTTCTTCAAAAGATTTAGGGTTTTGCCATGGAAAAAGGCATAGCAAGAAGACCAAAAATAATCAACGAGATACTGACCTGTGAAATCTATAGTGAGGTTTCTCATAGTATCGAAGTGATGGGCAAGAATTATCCGCAGTAAGCTTTTCTTAAATGCTTCTTTGTTACCTCGATCAGTCAGGGCCTCTTTAAATGCACCTCTATTTATGTTGCCCTAACATTAATGGGCTTTTATTGGGCTTACTATAGGCCATTTACCCATGGTATCTCCTTATTCAAAAATTACTTATGTCGTTAATACACTAGGGTCTAGGGATAGTAAATTAATCAGAGACGAAAGGAAAAACAGATTAGGGTTTCATAAACAAAGAGCAACCATGGGAAGAAGGACAAAGATGAAGAACAATCCACGAGAAACTGAAGCGACGACATACTCGAACTCAATTCCTATTGACTTGCTGTTCGAAATCCTCTTGAGATTGCCAGCGAAGTCCGTGACAAGATTCGTTAGCGTATCAAAGCTATTTGCAAAAATCATCCGTAGTCAAGATTTCATAAGATCGTTCTCGTTTCGGTCTTCAAAGCAGAAACAACGTGTTCTCTTAGCTTTCAGTGGAGTAGATAAAGAAGAAGGACGCGAGAATTGGTTCTTCCTCTCCTCATCATTAGAGGATTCATCATCATCGGTTTTTCTATCTACTAAGGCTTGCCACGCACCGGAACTTCGTTACACTCGACCTAGTTGCGTCCATGGTTTGATAAGTTTTGTCTACGGTCAAGAACACATCATATGTAATCCAGCCACTGGTAAGTCTATAACCCTACCTTTAGTCAAATCCAGAAGAAGTATTCTCAAAAGGTTTTTTGGATATATATGATCATGTTGATGACATATATAAAGTATTGTGCGTGACCGAACCAATGTTTGGTACGGGCCGTAAGCTAGTAGCAGCTAGTCAATGTCAAGTGCTTACATTGGAATCATCTAAGCATCAAAAGTACTCATGGAGAAAAATCGAGTGTAGCATTCCTCACCGACCACAATCTGAAGGTATTTGTACGATTGGGGTTTTGTATTATTATGCTCTCATGGGCAGAGAAATTATGGAACCTAGCTTAGTGAGATTTGACGTGAGATCTGAAACTTTTGATTTTCTCACTAAATAGCCTGTGGAGGTTCGAAATTGTCTTAAATCTTCAAACTTGATCAACTACAAAGGAAATGTAGCCCTTAGCCACTCGAACTTCGTTTTCTTCATTTGATTTGTGGGTCTTGGAGGATTTCAAGAAACACCAAAGGTTGAAAGTAAGTTTATATATTAGTCCTGGGTTAATAAGGTTTCGTCATGTAGACTTTAGAGGCATTGCTCACACGGGTGCGGTTATATATGCAACGTATGATCTGGAGGATTATCATTTACTCCTTCACGACCGTAAGACGGATACGCTAAAAGATGTTGAGATTGATGTAAACTCATATGAGTTTGGACGATTGTCTGGTGTAGTTAGTCTTGTGGATTATGTAGAGAGTCTTATGTTTTCATAAATTCATAGATTTTCTAAGCTTCTCTTTTGATCCTTAAGTTTCTTAGGGTTTTTGTGGGTTATTTTCTTACAAAGGAATCCATTTATGCTACTCGTTCTGTGCTTTGTTTTAAACTTCAAAGTAATACTGAGATCTCTTTTTATCTCCTTAACTGTATCTTTTGAACAACAAAATAAACTTCATCATAACACTCTTACAACACACATTAATAACTTTATTTTATTTCACTTTTAACATTCTCACAATGACGTACGTATCAACTAAATTCTAGTTTTGTCTTTTGCTTTCTTATAGTACGTAATGGTTAGAAGTTTCATCGAATGAACAATAACAATCACGCATAAGTAACCTGAAATGTAGATAAGTTACTAACTTTTCCATTATTGTGGCTTACCATAACTCTCGTACTTCCCGGTGTTCATATACTCGGTGAAGTATGAAGGTGGAGAATTAGAGCCTTTGATCTTTTTGTACTCTTTCCACCACTTCATGAAACTGCTTTTCTCTAAGAAAATCTCCGGCGAAACCTCACGTTTTCTGATCATCTCCCACACGTATTCCTTAAACTTCACGAGTTTTCTGGTCAGTGCTTCTCTCGCATCGTCACTCATCCCCACGGTTGTATTCAGCTGATTAATTACAATCATCGAATCCTCAACTTCAGCCCAAAAACAAGAATCAAACGTTAAAAGATCACTCAAATCTCTGTTTTGGCGTCTTTCCTTTTCTATCAATTCCATTCCAAACCATTTCTCGAGCATAACATATTGGCGAGACCTTCCCGAGGTTCGATACTCTTTCCCACCCTCGAGGTAATATTCAGCAATATCGAGCGGTTCAATCATCCGTCTGTAATTGTTCCCAGAGTATAGAAACCGTCTCTTGAGAATCGATATATCGCTCTGTGGCTTCTTCTCTACTTCTTCAACCACTGATCTCCAGTAACGGTTTAGCTCTAATTTGTGATTCTTGATTTTTATATCGAACTCCGAAGACGGAAACGCGTGTTGAGTCTTGAACCGATCGTAGTAACCGATCTTGACCTTCCTGCATTCCTTTTTGTACCACTCTATATACGCCATCGATATCTTCATGTCGTTTAATTTTTTAAACATATCAAAGCGCAGATCTTTCATTTCCGCACGTTTCTCCATTCCTTTGATAACAGCTTCAGGGACGAATGTTGAATCCGCTATAGACAACATGGATTGGTCCAGACGACGTAGAACTTGGCCGTAGTCTACTTGTTCCGAATCATGAACACCGTTTAGCAACTCTGTGACCGCCTCAGGGTCCTCGATGCAAACACATCCGGAGTCAAAACAGATCAAAAACGTTCCAAAAGGTTTGAAGAAATCCGACTTGAAGCGAGTTTGTGCTGCTGCCACCACGTGAAGGAAACATGAATTCCTCACAGAATTCTCAAGAATCTCTTGAAGAGAAACGTCTCCGATCAATGGCGAGCCAAATGTGATGCATAAGGGACGTTTTAACTTCGGGTCGATGGTATCTAGAAGCCATAGCGTATAGAGAGATGCAACGGACCCTCCTAACGAAGCTCCAGTGATGATCACCGGTTTCTCAGACTTAAGCGTTTGAAGCAACTGCAAGAGACATATAACTTTCAAGATTTCTAATTTTTTTAAAGTTTCTGTTTCCTAAAGTGGTTGACTTTTAAACCAGACAGTTCCAAAGATTTGTGAGTTACACAGAAAAACCTAAACTAGATCAAACAATCTCTGAAACAGAGTATTTAAAAGAGCTATTGGACTAAAACTGCAAGACAGCTACTGTTGTCGAGTTAAAAACGAGAAAATTACCTCTGATTGGAGGTTGGTGAGACTTTTATAAGCAGAGGTAAAAAGGTTTAAAGCAGGTGTGTGAAGAGAGAATGATGGGTTAATCTCGGAGCAGAGGAATGGAAACGGATTTTCATTTTCTTTCCCAGGAAGAAGAGTAGAATCAGAGCTACTTGTGAAAATCGGTGGTGCGACAAAAACCACAAGTGTGAATTTCTCTTCTCGGTAAATCTTGATTCCAAGACCTGAATCTTGATTCGAGTAGGGTGATTTATGTATCTCCGAGATCTTACTCCATGAGCTGTGTAAGAGACCAGAGCTCAACACAAGCTTCCCAAGTGCAGAACATTTTCTTACAAAACCAGCAAAATCGTGAATTTAGTCAAATGTCCAAAGAACAAGATTTTCAAGAAACAATAATTCATCAAAAAAAAACCAAGAAATTATTGAGCGAAAGAAGTTGAAGAAACAGACAAAATAAGAAAGAAAAGAGAGTGATTCGTAATGATTACAGTGAAGAAGAAGAAGAAGACTCCATGGCGTGAGCTGTGGAGAAGGACTGGACAAACTTATCGATCGAAAGAATGAAACTTATATTGTAAGACTGAGAGAAATAAATGTCTGAAAATGAGAGTATATGAAAAATATAATTGAACTGATAATAATTTTTTTTTAGAAAAACAGTATTTGAAAGTCAAGTAAATTAAATTAGTTAATGGTTCCTTTTCCGCGAAGAATCGCAAAACAAGTGTGAATATAAAAACGCCCACTTTCGTTACCATTTTAGACTCAATGTGTAGAGTGTAGTTGTGTACAATAGAACGACCAAAAGAAAGAATAAATACCCAAAAGTCACAACTCTCACAGCCATGAGTTTGTTTATTCTCTCCCCTTTTTTTAACATTTAAATATTTATACCATATCACAAAGAAAAATGTGGAATAAGTTGACATGTATTTTATGTATAAAAAGAGTTGACATGTACATATTTGTCCTAATGATCTCCAAACACATCGGCCCAAATAAGCTCGACCATGTGGACATAAGAGGTTAGATAAGGCCTAATAAGATCTGCAATTAGAGCATTGACCCAACTATAACATTGTCATTACTGCAAGAGCAGAACGTATTCATCGAAAATCCTTAATAAAATCCTTAATTATACTATAATTTTTCATAAAATCCTTAATTCATCGAAAAAGATTTTTCTTTTATAATTATTCTACATCCCGTAAACAAAGATCCAACTCAAAGGGGTACTAAAACACAAATAAACGCATTACAAACTTATAAAAACTCCATTGATTTTTTTTTTTTTTTTTTTGACGACCATCGTCATAAAAAGGTTCAAGGACATTTGGATTTTCCGCCACGTGTCTTCATGTTGGCGTAACAAGATCCACACTTCTCCTTATTACCGTACGTGCCAGGAGGAACACACTTGCAGCGGTAGCAGCACGTGACGCACGCTCTCATACATACGTTCTTCCTCGAGTGTTGCCCACACCTCGTCCCACATAAAGGCACGCAATCTAAACCGTCCAAAAATTAGTCCAACAGTACATCTAATCTAATCAACGGGCGATAATCATTACACTTTTGAAAGAAAATTATTATTACCTATCCGAGTTCTTACGGAAGGTGGTGTCGTCGGAGGTTTGACAGGTACTGTTGGTGGTTTAACCTGTGGTGCAGTTGGTGGTTTAACTGGTGGTGTCGTGGGTGGTATAACCGGTGACGTTGGGGGTTTGTACGTAGGTGGTTTAACCGGTGGTGTTGTGGTGGGTGGTTTAACCGGTTGCGTTGGGGGTTTGTACGTTGGTGGTTGGACCGGCGGTGGTCTAACTGGTGGCGTCGTTGGTGGTTTAACCGGTGATGTAGTGGGTGGTTTAACCTGTGGCGTTGGCGGTTTGTACGTAGGTGGTTGGACGGACGGTGGTTTAACTGTTGGCGTTGGGGGTTTGTACGTAGGTGGTTGTACCGGCGGTAGTTTGATCGGAGGAGTTGAAACGGGAGGTTTTGTTGGTGTAACCGGAGTGGTGGGAGGTTTGACCGGAGTAGTTGTGGTGGGTGGTTTAATAGGAGTAGTTGGCAGTGTGGGTGGCTTGTACGACGGCGTCGGCGGTTTGAGAGCTGACGACGGTGGTTTGATAGCCGGAGATGGCGATGGAAGAGTTGGTGTTGGTAAAGAAACCTATAAATATATACCAAAATTTAACTTCATACACGATAAATAATAAAAAATTTGCGTTTTAAGTATATATACGCATATAAATAATTAAACCGGAAACTAGAAAACGTACTAATGCCTTGGATTCCTCATTTGAAGCAGCAAAAACAACCTGCTCCATGATTAATCATAATACATAGAATTAGTTACAATATGCAAAACGTAATGCACATAATTGTATACTACTATTTTGTAGTCTTTAACACAATAGAATTGAAAACAATACTAACACTTTTTGTAAAAAGAAAAGAAAAGAATAACTTACATTGGTAAAGACATGGAAAAAGATAAAGACTGAAAGAAGTGAGAGAGCCATTTTTTGTGGGAGATGAGAAAGTGGTGAAGTCACACGAAGAAGACCAATTGCCTTTTGTGCTTTAAATAGAAGTTCCTTATTTATTTACCATATTATCCATAAATAAAAATCATTAATAATTTATTTAAATGCATAGTAAGTATTAGGTCCAGAGCAGTTATTATATGCATCATGCATGCCAGCTTTGAACCTTCACTGCATCATCATAATCTCTCAGAGCTCGAGGATAAACAAAATATCTGATTCCCAAAATGGATTATAATAGATAATACATGAAATTGCCACTTTATTCGTACATCAACTTGGAATACTTTATCAGTAAATATGAACAAATAACTCTATGGACTTTTTGGTGATATGTTTGAGTACCCCGAGAGACTAGTGGATGACAAATTGACATTAATAATCTTCTTATTAAATAAATAAATAGCATTCGATTTACCCATAAGGCTGTGTCGCCCATATAAAGAGGCTCTTCACTTCGATTATTGCACCAGTGGTATAAAAGGTTTGTCGTTTATGTTAGCAACTTAGCATGGCCTACGAAATTACGACTATACTTTGTTTTGAAATATCTAAGCTATACATCTTTCATATTTTCTAATAAAAATCTAAAGTGTTCTCAAATCAGAGATGGACAATAGCACATGAGTTCTTTAAATTGTTGCGGTGATTATTATTATTATTATTATTTAGTTCTGATATTTCGAAAAAGAGGTCAACAGTGTTCATTAAAGTGAAATCGACAACGAGTACAGATTTTTATCATTACATATGTCGTGAGTACACAGACTTTCCTCTTTTTTGTTAACATGATAAAGTTTTGTTACGAATGAATGTTTGCTTCTATTTGATTTTATTTGTTACGTAATGAATAGAATAAAACAGATTCCACAACAACATAATTTCATACATTAAGTTGTAAAAACAGAGGTTTGTTTCACATGGTTTGGTAAGAACATATATTATGGTCTATAATACCCAATTTTTTTAAAAGTAAAGATTTGTGTTTAAAGTACAACAATGCATGAGCTGTTATTCACCATATACTTTCACATCACCAATTCACCATAGTACTCCACAATGTCAACATCGTACATGCATACATATACATAGTGACAATCATATCCACACACAAAACTAAATGCATTGTACAAAGCAATGAACCTAAAGGTCTATAAAAATGCCAACCTCCATTTGTGGGAACCCCCATATGACCCATTAAATTAATATATGTTGTAGAACTTATAGTTGTATCTTCTCATTCCATGAATAATGATACATATATATATAGGCATATAAACCTAGAGTTTTAGAATACATAATGAATAATCTTGATGGGCTTATTGGACCCGGTTATAAATCCAATATGATGTATTATAACAATATAGACATTTTCCATTTCTCTATTTTGACAAAGAAAACATTAATTTTCCACTTTTTTTTTTTTACCACATTTGTTTTCTTGAGAGGAACAAATGAAAGAAAGTATCCCTAAAATTGAACATTATGTGTTTCTTTAATCACAAAATGAAGGAGAAAGATGATTTAACTAGACAAGAACTTCATCTTCATCTTCAAAGCTCAAATTCAAAGTCTGTAATTTAAATCCAGCTCCTTGTATAGTCTCCACCAAGCTTGACGCCACTCCTGTTGCTTGAACGGTCGTTTGCTTTGAAAGCTTCACACACATTGAACACAACATAAGCCAGATTCAATTGTACAATCAAATATAGAGATGTTGCTATGAGTTTCATCTAGCCAAAACAGAACCGTTCCTATAAAGGCCTTAACTATTCAAGGTCAGGCTTGAGGCTTTTGTTATGCGGCCCCTAAGACTAACCCCGCAGTTAACCACAAAAATGTATAACAAAATGACTACTTGACCAGTCCAATCCTTCTACGGCTGTGCCGGCCATTATATCTCTAATCATACATATTCAAAAGCTGTTCTTATCTATATATATCCTATACACATATCTGTGTAGTAGTGTAGGTGTGTGAAGAGGCATGTAAAGGCAATGTATCAAGACAATGTTGGATGTAAAACATACCTCAACGACGGCAACACCTTCAGATACCTGAACCTTTAAATTGGAAACTCCATCAATATCCTGAAAGAACAAAACAAGATTGGCTATTGGTTTAGTTCACTGTTTTTGAAAGCTATAGGTAGTTATTAAGGAAGATCTAGAGCGTCTAAAGAGTAAGTGAACACCCAAACTTCGAGTTTAACACAACTACATAGATTAAACAAGTATCCAAAAAGGGTTTTATAATCCAAGAAACAGATGCATTCACAAGACTTCTCGTCAAGCTCCACAAAGATTTACTATTTCAAGGAGGGATCTCAAAGTAAACTATTACCTGTAAGGCCCTTGTCACATTAGGAATAGCTGCTTCGTTCAAAGTTCCATCAGCCTACAAAACCAAGCAAAAAAAATCAACAATGATCAGACTCAATTTGAGGCCACACATGAAATTGCAACAAAGTAATGCTCATAGGATCTTCAAGACAGTTTCAATACCATTTTGCAACCCTCATTTCTAAGACCTGATGAAGTAATCCTACTAAATCTAATAGCAATCCGTAAATGGAGAATGAGGATAGTAATCATACAAAGTCACTGGAGTGATTAATCAAAGAGAGAGTGAAGTACACCTGAAAAAACATGGTGAGCATGTCTGAAGGAGAGACAGGAACAGAGACAGTCTCTTGCTGTTGCTCCTCTGCGACTGCGACACCTTCTCCTCCTTCTCCAACCGACGAAAGCTTCATTAACCCAAGGCGATTCTGTTTCATAAACCCAGCAAAACTGCAAATTCGGCTATTTCCGATAGCTCTGGTCCTAAAGTTGAGATTTTTCGACAAAGGGAGAAGATGGGTCGAAGAAAGATTAGGGCTTTTGGTTGTACAAAACAAGTGAAAGGTAGAAGAAGCTGCAATCGACGCCATTTTTCGCTACTAACCAAATCTTCTTCACTCGATAAGGTTGTGAGTTATAAGAGAAGAAAGATGGTTTTTTGCTCTTTCGTGTTTTTTTTTTCTTTACTCACATTATCCACTCGAAGCAAACATGTCGAAAAGACATAAATACCCTTAAGAAGCTCTCTTTCTGCCAGAAGGTTCCAAGCAGTAATCTAGAATAACTGTTTATAAATTAGAATAAATGTTGATTTGGTTAGGTATTATTTAGATTGGTACTAGATTATTTGCAAACACTATCACTAGTTTCAATATTCTATGTGTTTTCTGAAATTACAGATCTTTATACATATTTCAATATTTCATCCAACACAAAACCTAATAGTTGTTGTTTGTTTTGGAAATTTTGACTTTTGATGGTCATTTCGGAAATGCAAGTTAATATAGTTTGATCATATATTCCTAAAGTTTTCTTCGAATGACTGTTTTGGTATTCACATAAGCTCAAGGCACTAACTTAGTGGTATATCACCATAATGCAAGGTCTAGACAGGTTCGAATGACTGTTTTGGAAGAAGGAGTTTCATAGATAAATTAGCTACTTTTCTTGGATCACATCGGATACATAGTGTTCATTAAGATAAACAGTTTTGTAAATTGAGATGATGGATGACTTATTTAATTTGATAAAGTATAGAAGCTTAGGTAGAAGAATTGTTCTCCATTCAATTAGGCGTTTAATTACAGTTGTAAACCATTCTTTCCAAATTAGGTATACAGTTTGCTTCTGTGTCACTATAGCAAATTGAGAGGAAGATCTAGCTACCTAATTCGTTGTGTTTAGAAAGTTTAGGTAGAGGAGTTGTTTACCCATTCGTTAGGCGTTTATGATTGTAAAAATTTGCTTGGGTCAAATTAGAAAAACTTGTAGTAAACATTTACCCTATATCAATATAAGAGAAATTCAAGACCGCACACATTCAGTGATATGCTCAGTTTCTAAACTTATGTCAGTGTGTGTTTGTTGTGTTGTGAATTCTTATCAAATCAAGGGTTGTATTAGGGCTTGATTGGTTCTCCCGCTAGCACCCGCCTAGCGGTTGTTAGCGGTCGGTTGCGGTTGCTAGCGGTTGGTACCAATCATAGAAACCGCTCCACACCGCTTCGAACCGTTCGAAATCGCTGGATTTCAAAAGCTCCTTCCCGCAAGCGTTTGCGGTTGCGGGCGGTTGCGGTTGGTGTAAAAAAGGAAATAAACTAAAAAAGGAAAATAAATTAATTAAAATATATATCATCATGTCTAATTTATATTCACGTTAATTCTAAAAAAATAATTATTATTTAACTTTAATTTTCTAATATAAATAATTATTTTTGTTTTCCATATAAAAATTTATATGAATAATTATTTATGGTTTTTAATCATTAATCATTTTTAAAAAATTTATACTTTTCATAACTATAGTTTCTGGTGTTTTATAATTTTTTATAATCATATATTAAATTTATTTTGGTAAATTTTGGTTTAACCGCTATCGTACCCGCTGATCAACCAGTCGTAAATCTCCCGCAAACGCACCCGTTTTCAACCGCTAAACCAGTCGGTCAAAACGCTAAAAAACGCTTGAAACCGCAACCGTTCGCTTCCGCAAACTCCCACAACCGCAACTGCAACCGCTGCGATTAAACCAGTCAAGCCCTTAGGCGAGAAGCACCAAATTGAGTCATGTTTAAAACCTTGTAATGCGGGGAGTGGAAAGTGGATATGAGCCTCTTCTTAATAGATTTACACCACATGCTGTATTTAAATTTTTTGGCCCAAATATATTATTAAAATCTAATTTTCGGGCCAAGATCTATTCTTTTCCTACAAAACTTAGCAGAAATTTTTTTAAAAGACAGATTTAGTTGCACTTCTGCCCACCTATACTGGACCGGGCCTGACCAGATTCCAAGCAATTTAATTATTTCCTACATGAGATAATCAAATCCTCTCTAGAATTAGTTTTGTTGAAAAGGAAATTAAGTTTCGTTATAAATACAGGAAGTGGTTGTTTAAGGTTTTTGGTGAATAGAATTGATAAGAATGGATATGATGAAGAAGGCGTATTCTGCACGGTATTTCGAAATACTGGAGAAGCGGAAGAATCTACCAGTGTGGGTTCACAAAGAAGAGTTTCTTCAAACGTTGAAGGAGAATCAGATAGTGCTATTGGTGGGTAAGACCGGAAGTGGTAAAACAACACAGATCCCACAGTTTGTTTTAGAAGCAGTGCTCAATGAAAACCCTAGCTCTGGTCCTAAGGGGAAGAAGTGGTTGGTTGGGTGCACGCAGCCTCGTAGAGTTGCAGCCATGTCTGTGTCGCGTCGTGTAGCTGAAGAGATGGATGTAGAGATCGGGGAAGAAGTTGGTTACACCGTTCGTTTTGAGGATTGCAGCAGCTCCAAAACGGTCCTCAAGTACCTAACCGATGGTATGCTTCTGAGAGAAGCAATGGCGGATCCGCTGTTAGGGAGATACAAAGTGATTGTTCTCGACGAGGCGCATGAGAGAACTTTAGCCACGGATTTGCTATTAGGTCTTCTTAAACAAACCTTAATTAGTCGACCTGATCTTAAGCTTGTTGTGATGAGTGCAACCCTAGAAGCCGACAAGTTCCAAAAGTATTTTATTGGTGTGCCTCTTATTAAAGTCCCTGGTAGGCTCCATCCAGTGGAAATCTTGTATACTCGAGAACCCGAGAGGGACTATCTCGAGGCTGCGATTAGTACTGTTATCCAGATCCACATGTGTGAGCCACCTGGTGATGTTCTTGTTTTCTTAACAGGGGAAGAAGAAATTGAAGATGCTTGCCGCAAAATCATCAGTAAACTTGGAGATCAAGTCAAAGTCGTGCCATTGTATTCCACTATGTCACCTGCTATGCAACAGAAGATATTTGATCCTACACCGCAGTCAGTGAGAAAGATCATTGTATTCACCAACATTGCAGAGACTTCTTTAACCATTGATGGAATTGTTTATGTGGTTGATCCTGGTTTCTCCAAGCAGAAGCTCTACCACCCAGACACTCGTGTGGAATCCTTGTTAGTGTCCCCAATATCACAGGCAAGTGCTGACCAGAGAGCTGGTCGTGCCGGTAGAACACAGCCTGGAAAATGTTTCAGGCTTTACACACAGAAAAGTTTCAATGAATTGGAGAAGCAGAGTTCTGCTGAGATACTAAGATCAAACCTTGCAAACACAGTTCTGACCTTGAAAAGACTGGGTGTGAAAAACTTGGTACGCTTTGATCTTATGGATGCTCCTGCTCCTGAGACCCTCGCTCGGGCCTTGGACGATTTGTATCATTTGGGAGCACTAGATGATGACTGTAACTTGACAAATACAGGTGAGATGATGAGTGAGTATCCCTTAGACCCACAGATGGCAAAGATGCTCATAGTCAGTCCTCAATTCAACTGCTCAAACGAGATTCTTTCGATTTCCGCGATGTTATCAGTACCAAATTGTTTCATCAGGCCAAGAGGAGAAGCTCAAAAAGCAGCAGATGAAGCCAAATCTAGTTTTGCACACATTGATGGAGACCACCTCACACTCTTGAATGTGTTCCACGCTTTCTTGCAAAACAACCAAGACTCAGATTGGTGCTACGAAAAATTCATAAACTACAGAGCAATGAAGTCTGCAGTTAGTGTAAGAGAGCAGCTGGTCCGGATCATGTCGAGGTTTCAGATTAAGTTGTGCAGCCCAGGTTTCAACAGCCGCGACTATTACGTCAACATTAGAAAGGCCTTGCTTGCCGGTTATTTCATGCAAGTGGCTCACCTAGAACGCACTGGCCACTACTTGACGTTCAGAGATAAGGACGACCAAGTGGTTCACTTGCATCCTTCCAATTGCTTGGATCACAAACCGGAGTGGGTGGTTTACAACGAATATGTTTTCACTAGCCGAAATTTCATCCGAACTGTCACACATATTCGTGGTGAATGGCTAGTAGATGTTGCACCACATTACTATAAGCTTGCCAACTTTCCCAATTCTGAGGCTAAACGAGTACTTCAAAAGCACTATAAGAAGAGGAAACTGTCAGAAGAAAGGAGTTGTAAATTGTACCTTTTGCGCTAGCAATTCAGAAAGAGAGTTTTGTTTCTAATTACATTAGTTTTATAATTTGCCACATTGTTTTCTGGCGAGGAACAATGAAACAAAGTCTGTAACTTTCATCAAGCTCCTTATATAGGCTCCACCAAGCTTGGTATCACTCCTGTTACTTGAACCATTTGCTGCTTCGATACCTTCACACACACACGTTGAACATACACACAAGCCAGATTCAATTGTCTGAATAAGATTCCAATATCCATCCCTTGATTAACGGTAATATGTTTCAAATCACTAAGCTATAACCACTTATTCTGCAAAGCACAATGATCATCAATTTTAGTATCTCTACAAAAGTAATAAGATCCAGAAGGATATACAGTCACTTTAAATCATTCAGCACCTAATTAACGATATATGAAATGTATAAGTGAGTAGCTAAAACGCAAAAAAGGTTCTTCAAAAAAACTAATCTTACTTTTGCAATTCTGTGCAGGTTTTGGTGCACTCCTACAATTGTATAACACCACAAGACAAGATCATTACATTGTGTTTAGTTTTCTGAACACATGAAACTCTAGGAAATCAGCAGAGGTACTTAGAAGCAGTAAAGTGAAATAGCGAATCATTGTGGGAATCTTAGCTTTTGGTAAGGTTCCAAATAGTAACTTTCATAAGCTAATTATACAACAATGTAATGTACCTGAAAAAAACATGTTGAGCATGTCTGAAAGTAGAGACAGGCACAAAGACAGTCTCTTGCTGTTTCTGTTGCTATTCCTCTGCAATTGCAACCGATTAAAAAGCTTCATTTCTCCTATTTCTTGCTGGATTATAAATTGTATTTTACATGAATATAAATATATGTTTCCTTCATCATATCTTTTTCTAACAAGTTTGTCTCTGTGTGCCTGTTTACATGGAAATTACTCCAAATTTGGGAGAAAATAATGATCAAACAAACAATTTCATTTGAAGTGAAAGAATTACAAAAAAAAAAAAAAAACAAACAAATGAAAGCTGTGTAAAAAATAATATTTCTTTCCACAGAATTAAAATCCATTCTTTCTTCTAATGTCTCTCCCCTTTCATCAGTGTGCGGTGCACGTTAGCGCCAGCCCATTTAGAACAGAGAAGCGCGTGGCATTTTTCACTTAAACAGCGACGGCGCGTGGTTATCATTGTCGAAATCAATGGAGCATTTAGTAGAAACCGGCAGAGACGGGGCGGCGAACCTCATCGAGTAATCACGATAAGGAAACTCATCTTCAAAATGACCCGTCTGTTTTCCGTCGTCGAAATTCAAAGAATAACTCCACGAATCATACCGGAAACTAACATGCTCCGGCCGATTACAACCACCGTCAACGCCACCGCAGCAGTGATTACGTCCAAAGCGACGGATAAAAGTTTTCCATTTGGGACCAGCCACGAGCTCAGACCATTCCCTCATCTTCATCCACCCGGAGACCCACCACCGCTCATCAGGCTCCAATTTATCAACGGTTCTGATTCGTTGCCACCACACAGATCCGTTAGGACCAGATGGCTGAGATGATCCAAGACAAGGAAGAATAAAACAACAACCTCGTTTCGCGAACATCGCTTCGTGCATTTCATCGGTCGCGTCCATTTCAGAGATCGGAAAAGATTGAAGCCCCATGAAACAGTGAAATTGATTTGAGAAAAGATCGAGAAGATTAAGAGAAAGGGTGAGAGATGAATACAGAGATGAATCCTTCCTCCTCTCTGTTTCTCTGCAACCCTAACCCTAATTTTCTCTTTCTCTTGCAAGAAATCTCTTTCCTCTTCTTCTCTCTTTCTCTCTCTCGGTGAGAGTTGTGACCTCTAGTTGCCGTTGGAGAAGCTATGCACCACGGATAGAGAAAGAAGCTCGATTAAGAAGAATCGAAGCAGGAGGGATATGATGAAGAACTTCTCAAAATCGAGAAGAAGACGAAGCAAGGAGCAATGGGATTAAAATCCCTAAATTGAAATTGGGGGTTTAATCTAAGGACTCAAGAGGGAGTGTTGGGAATTGAGTCCTTGATTAAACCTGCAACAAAGAGAAAGCTTTAGCAGAGCAAAGAGAAGAAGAAGAAGTCGACAAAGAGAGTCAACGACAGAAGACAAGTCAACAAGGAAGTTGGGCTTGGTGTTTTTCTGTTTGGTGTGATGGGCCTACAAGTGAAAAGGCCCAAACTAGTGAAGAGTGTTTTGTCTAAATAGTTGTTAGTAGGAGTGGTAAGAGTCTACGAGAGTTGTTAAACGTTGCTTGTATGACTTCTATCTAGAAGTAAGGTCAATAGTTAGCCTAGTGTTTAGGAGTATGGCTTGTGTAAGAGTCATGATTAAGGTTCATGTGTCTAGAGTAGCAAGTGGAGATAAACCACTATATGTATGTGTTATGTGTGTTGTGTAAGAGAATCCTTGTGATCCGAAATATCAATGTAGACAATTAAAGTAAAATGTGTTCTTGTTTTCTCTCTAGAACAAGTGAACACAAACGAGTAAGAAAGTGTGAAAGATAGAGAGATTGTGAGAATTACAACAGTTTACTTGTTAAGTCGGTGCAAAAAGCCGTTAGTCCCGGTAACTTTTATAACGGTCGACCATTAGTGAGCTAATTTATAGTATGATTTAAAGTATTCTTCAAATATACTACATTAAAGTAAGAAATTAAAGATGAAAATGTGACTTTGTGTAATCAGTAAACTTGAGAAGAATATCCCATATAATTAATTCTAGGCCGTAGATTTCGCTGATCGTTTATGGCTTCGTTGAAATCAACGGCCTTGATCACCATGGCTTCTCGGCGACCGTCTTGCTCCTGAACTGCCCCAAACACAATCTCGCTCTTCTCTCGATTATCTTCGAACGACGCAGTATCGTTCACATTTCGTTTCTGCTGGTTTTGGTATTGGTCATAGTCTTGGTAATAAGACCGGTTTTGGTTGGTTCCTTGTGCTCTGAGGTAGGGTTTATCCGGATTTGTGCCTGATCTCGGTTCTAAAGCCGGCGGTCCATCTTCTTCCGGTATAGCATAGCTCTCTTGTACCGGCCATTGGTTCGGTTCTTGCTGATGGTGGTACTGATGAAAGTTAGGGGGGATTACATTTCTGGAACCGGACATCATCTCGGAAACCGAAGAACCGGTTTTCACGACTAGCTTTCCAAGCGAACCGAGAAATCCTTCTTCTTTTTCCGGTTCATGTTGAGGTGGGATTAAAGGCTGTCGAACCGGTCTTGGATAACGTTGGTATGGAGCCATAGTCATGCTCGGTTTTGCTACATGCCTCTTATTATCCTGAAAAAAAAAACAGAGCAATGAGGAGCTTATTGGGTTTTCTACACCGGTTCAGATTCCAATCAAACCGATTCACTCACATGACCAGATGAAGAGAACAACGATCGTACTCTACGTACTAATAATGCAAACATATATCCAAAGAACGCAGCAGCTACAAGCAAAGCTGTTCCTGCAAAGATACAAACCAAAACGGTATCGTATTCAAGCAAAGCACAACACCAAAACGGCGATATAAAACGTTCAGAAGGTTACCAAGATGGAGATTATCTGTGTCGGGTTCCTGATGAGAACAGTCGTGATCATGAAGCTGAATCTCTTTAATCATTTGATTCCCTCGATCAATGACTAATAGAGAGCAGCTTGAAGAGACGTATATCAAATCAAAGTCATCGGAGAATCTCATTGACTCCTCTTTAGATCCACCGCTCCATCTTCCTCCGGCGGTGATGGTTGAGACTCCTGAAAATAAATAAAACCAAAAACGCTTTGTAATTCCGTATTTCAAAGCGCAAACTCATGCAAACGAATTCTAGTTACCGTCGTCGCTGATCTTGCGTATGGCCATATTGTTAGTATCGGCGACATAGATGTTTCCACTGTCGTCGATAGCTAGGCCTCGAGGACGATTCATTTTCGCTTCTTTGAGCTTTCCATCGACGTGTCCTGTGTAGCCTTCTTGTGAACCAGAGACTAGCTTTGGTTTAGCATCTTCAAATCAATACATTCAAAACCCAAATTAATTAACAAATCCTTACTTTTATTGTGACTTGTGAGATCAGTTTTGAAGAACTGTAAGTAAGAATGCGAGGAACAAAACCCAGAATCTGAATCTGTCTTATCTGAATCTTAGAATCTACCTAAAAGCAAAAGTTGCTGCTTTAATCTAAGAGAAGTTTGGTAACTTGACGAACAAGAAACAACAAAAAGAATAAACGTGAATGACAGAGAACAAAACAGAATATGGATAAAAGCTAATGAGTCGTGTTGTGGACTAAAGTGCAAAAGTTTTAATCTATAAAAGGCTTTGCTTGTCAAAGAAAGAAACTTTGGAATCTGAAATGAAGAACTCACTTTTTAACTGAACTAGAGAAAAAAAAAGCGAACCAAAAATGAATCCCCATCTTGAAGCAAAGCATAATTGTTCATACATGATTCAACATTTTTGGTGGGTCATATATATATAGGAGTGGGAATTGCTTGAATGTCCCATAAAAATAAATTATTGATTCAAGTCCATTTCAAGATAGATATGAAGATGAACTTACATCTAGAAAGAGGCATGGAGATTTTGTGGATATTACTATTCTCAGAATCCAAGACAATAAGCTCTCCTCCATTAGGGGAAACTTCAATTGCATATGGCTCAATGCCAAGCTTACTTCCATCAAACACTGTCTCGATGTTATATCCACTTTCGTATTTCACCATCGAACGGCTAGAAACACCTGTTACATTTCCTCAAATGTTTCTTTATTTTTATAAACCTTAACACTTTGAAATCAAGATCATAATAAAAAGCTATAACTTTTTTTGTTGTTGTGGGTCTTCTTACCAGATTTTGTGGTGGTTGTTGTGGTTGTGGATGTTTGAAGAGACCATAACCATTTCCAGAGAATTGATGCTACGTTTGTCACAAGTCCACTTACAATCTCTGCTCCCAAAACAGAGAAAAACAGAACATTTGCAGACATTCATTACAACAAATATGAAAACATGTATTTATTCTATAAAAAAATTCAGTTGAGGGTAATGAAGAACTCACTAACAGGAGGAGGTTTAGCTGAAACTGAGGATAACCCACAAAAGAAAAACATGAAAATCACAGACAAAATCAACAAATTTGCATATTTCCTCATTTTGTTTTTGTTTTTTGGGAAAACAGAGCAAGCAAGAGTTGCTCACACAAGTTTAGAGAAGAAATAAATATGCACTGGTATGTATATGTGTTTCTATGTAGCACTAACATATATGGTGAGATAAACCGACAAAAGAGAAGATTTGGAGTTAAAGAAACATAAAGAGACAAGAATCATATGCTCAGTCTTGTCTGTTTGTTGTTCAATCCTTTTCTCTTTGAATCCTAATCAGTAGGGACAAATCATTACAAAAACAAAAAGCATATCTTACTTATGCCACACGCAACTCTAACATCTCTACACAAAAATTACAACAACAACGAAAAAGAACTCTGACAAATTTTTTTTATCATAATTTACAAAACTGAAGTTTATTCAGATTTAACAAAAACCAAAAAAAGTATAGTCAAACGATATAAACCATACCAACTTCTAAAGTAGAAGCGTGAGGAGTAGAGAGACCATAACAAGGTCCTCTCGAGTTTCTTCTTAGAAAATCGTAGCCAAAGTTTATAGCGATTTTCTTCATCACACTTGATCCCGATTTTGCTCTCACATACGAATGTCCCATTATAAACGCCATTCCTGCCTCACGCGCCTCTGTGAGCTCTGTTAGCTCCTCCTCCGCGGATCTATCTATCCTCGCACTTTCTGGTAACACAAACCGTACCCTTTTCTTGATTCTCGGAGAAGGAGCCACCACGATTACCTCCGAAGAAGATGACGGTTCTTGTTTATCAGAACCATCGTCTTCAAAGATTTGTACGCCTTCAAGATTGGATGAAGAAGCCGCGACGACAGTTAGCCTCTCACTTGTTCCAGATTCGTTTTCCGGGTCCGGGGAGTAATTCAATGGTTTATCCGAACGAATAAACTCCGCGATACTGCAAATGAGGTCGTTCTCAAACTCAACATCGTCTTTGTGTACATCGCGGTATCCATACCGGGCTATACACCGGTAGAGGCGGTACTCCTTCGGTCCGACCCTTCCAACGAGAAACCGTTCCTCCGGTTTCACATGCGGGACAGGGACAGATTTCACGCAGAGGAAGACGACGACTTGGTGAAACGCCGGGAGGTTAGTGATGAAATGAGAAAAGATAGCTGGTATGCCGGAGACAAGCTCAGTGTTGATCACCCCGATTCCCTGGACTCGGACAATTCCGAGGTTTGAGGAGCCGAAGAGTGTGAGGAGCCAGTTGATTGAGACTTTGTTTTGGACGTCAAATTCGTAACGCTTAAGGGTTCCGTAGTGCCAAACGTACATGATGAGGAGGAAGATGAAGGAGAGGGCGACTGGAACCCAAGCACCTTCGAGGAATTTAATGAGTGAAGCTGAGAAGTAGAGAACTTCGATTGTTCCGAAAAAGAAAATGAAGGCAAGCGCGTAGAGGGAGCTTTTGCGCCAGCATAAGACTATTACCAGAGACATCAAGCAAGTCGTTACCAGCATAACGGTAATAACTGCCAAACCTTCATATAGATTACAGAGAAGAAAAGATTCAGAACCGGAATTTAGTGGTTATGGCTATGGTTACAGATACTGTACCTGAGGCATTGCTTATGTGTTTGGTGTCACGGAATCCAACTGTGACGGCTAAACACAAGAGCATGAGAGTCCAATTGATCTCAGGGATATATATCTGACCGTGCATTCTCGACGAAGTGTGTACGATTTTGACTTTTGGGAAGCAACCTAGAGAAGTACATTGCTTGATGATCGAGAATGTTCCTGTGATTATTGCCTGACTTCCAACAACAGCCGCCAATATAGCAATTGCCAAAACTGGCCATCTTATTTGCTCTGTACACAACAAACAAACTAGTGAAAACTATGCCAAACAAAGAATTGTATTTTAGCTGGTTAACAAGATGATGAGTGGATTTACCGGGTACAGAAACATAGAATCCAATCCGGTAATCACTCTCGAGGACATGGTGCTTAGATAGATACGCGGCTTGACCCATGTATGCAAGGATTAGCGACGGGTAAACAGCGAATGTGAATGCAATCTGCAGCCAGAGACACAAAAAAAACATGCAAAGTTTCAGGGAAAGCTAATAAGAGAACACAAAAGGATTCAAAGTTTAGAAATAAAGCCATAAAATCTACCTGTATTGACAACTGAGTGAAGTGTCCAAGATCAGCAAACATAGCTTCCGAGCCTGCGAAAACCGCAAAGAAACAAAATTATGGGAAAAAAGGCTTTGAAACTCAGGAAGCAAAACCATTCTTTCTCTTCTTCTTCTTTTTCACCTGTAATGCATAAAAGGATGCCACCGAGAGACATCCATCCGCGTTTACGAGTTTTCTTGAGGAACTTGTAGATGTAATAAGGAGACAATGCTTTGTAAACTTGAGGATTCCAATGGAAGATGTTGTATACACCAATGGTGCTTATGCAGAGAAGCCATGCAAGCACAATGGGAGCAAATACAAACCCTAAACGATGTGTTCCATAGTGTTGTAGCGAGAACAGGAGTATCAGTATTGCACAGACCACAGGCACCTCCACATCTGCAGAATTGTGCGGGTTAATGATTCAAATAAAGAACTTTATGTCTTGAGAGTCTTATCCAAACCAACCAACTTTTTATTTGACCACTTTAGTTTTAAAAAGGTATAAGCTTTATGACTTTTATATTCCTTTAGCTTTTATATGTCTAATAAATCATTAACTCCTAAACCACATTCATTATCTTATGATTATAAGAATGCATCTGCATCAGCCTCACCTTCCACACCAAAAAAGTTCAATTAACTTATTTTATACATAATTAAGAAGCTTCATGTTGATCCTACATGGATTCAACCTAACATGCAATTAGCCAATTGACTATGTGGACAAAACAAAGACCAAAATAGCTAATCTAAAGCTACCTGATGCAGCGAATTCTGCTCCTAAACTATCTTAAACAGTATCGACTAAACTTAGGAACCAAACGAAACTTCAGAGGAAACACACTAAAAATAGCATAATTTGACATTTTGGGGATCTAGTGATCAAAAGAAGTAAAGAGCTTACATTGATGTTGCTGCTTGGACATGGATAACTCTAATCCAGAGACTGCTGAGAAAACTGAAAATTCACACCCAAAAATAATACAAAATCAGTCTTGAGAATTTCACACAAATCTTTAAATCAAATCTGACAAAAAGAATCAATTTTTATTTTACCAGAGATTGCAGGTGTAAGAACACCATCACCAATAACCATACAAGTCCCAATCAGAGCAAGAACAAGCAACATGTTCTGCAGAAACTTATGCTTCTCCAGAGTGTTTTTCAAACTCCACCCCGGAACTTTTAAACTCCTCAGATTCTCCCCGGAAGTTTTCTTATACTCAGAAAGGTCCTCATCAGCGAGCTGGAAATTGGGCAAAGAGCTAATTCTAGCATGGCGACACAACAAAGAGTAGAGAGCGAAAGTCCCACCTTCTCCATTATCATCAGCACGAAGAACAATAAAGACGTATTTAACAAGTGGGATTAAAGTTAATGTCCAGAAGATAAGAGACAGAACACCAAAGATCTCTTCGTTTGTCTCTGAATGTGTTATGTCTTCAGCAAAAGTGCTCTTGTAGACATACAATGGTGAAGTTGCTAAATCTCCGTAGACTACACCTAAGCTCTGGTAAGCTAAAGTCAGAACCGTCCACCAAGATTCTTTCTGCAAAAACCAAAACTTTAAGCAACTAATAAGAAAGGATTTTGAAAGTGAATGTTGAGAAGTTTTTACCTTGATTGGATTTCTTGGGCTTAGACGCTCGAGATCCATGATGGGTTTTGTATCTAAAAATCAAAGGAAATTCATTTTTGGGGGATTTAGTTTTGTGGAAAAGTGGGGAATTTAATTCGATTGACGTTAGGAACTTTTTCTATGGATTCTTTGGCTTTGTGGATTAATGGCATTGAAGGTACAAAAGAAAAGGTTTGGCCAACAAAATCAAGAACCACATACAGAGAGAGAGAGAGGAAACACACAAAACATATGAAAGAATGATTAAGATAACTGCCACAAATATAACTGCAAATATCATACTCCTCAAGAAATTAGTGGGGCCTTTTTGGCATGGAAGGATGTGCAAATCTTATAAATTGTTAACTATATAAATATATAGAAATGTATTTATTTTTTAAGTATCTTATTATATACTTCATGAAAGAATGATTTTATGAGGTTTTATTTTTACATCAAAATTAACAGATTATTTTTTTGTAGTATATTGAATGCATTTTAATTTTTAAGATTAATTAATTAATTAGTGCTTTTACATTTATAACAAATTTATAATATTAGAAAAATATTAGTGAAGTAAAAAGCATCTTGAGATTAAATTTTAAAAGATTTAACAAAGTAATTAATTAAATGCTTCATTTATTATTTTTTAAAACTTGGTGAAAAACTCAGAAAATCATTCTTTTTGATACATAGGAAATAAAATTTGTTAGTTTAGTTTTCAAAGTTAGTAGATGATCGCAATACATGTCAAGTAAAACATAAAATATTGTCATGTGTCAAAACTAAATTTGATGATATATTTTAAAACAAAAGTTCTAACTTTATTGGAAAAGGAAACAAGTAAAAGATAATATTTGTTTATTTATTCAAAGAATTATTTTTATTAATACATTAGACTATTAACCTTATACTGTACTACTAAAATAAATTGTTAATATATTTTTAAAAGAAGTAAATTTCATTATCCTGTAGAAAAAAAGTGATAATATTAAATTATTAACATAATTCTATTGAAATAATTTTTGTTAACATCATTTAAGCCCATAATATATGTAAAAAATTATAGGCCTGGGCAATCGGTTTTATCGGTTTGTTCGGTTCGGTTTATTCGGTTTTTCGGGTTTTTCGGTTTTTAAAATTTCTGCCGAATTGAACCGAATAAAAATTCGGTTCGGTTCGGTCGGTACTCGGTTTGTTCGGTTCGGTTATTGGGTTTAAAATCAGTTCCGAAAATAAACCGAAATTGATTTTTCCTCGGTTTATTCGGTTAACCGAGGATCTTTCTCTGCAAAATCAGACTCTTCCATGGGGATATCTGACCTAAAAATCCAGAAAAAGAGGCCAAGTCAAACCAATCGGAAAAAAAGGTGGAGGATTGGAGGTGAAATTGAAAATGGAGATATCGGAAAAAGAAAGATGAGAAGATTAGAAGATTATTATTACAAAAGGCTATAAGAAACCAAGCCTCATGAGTGAATCAAGAAGAATCGATTAAGGGAGATCGAATGATCCACCATGATTTGATTTGATAGGGTCTAGAGAAATAGAGATTATTGGAAGTCTGACAAAAAAAAAAAAAAAAAAGATTATTGGATGAGATTGAGAGAAACCAACGATGAAGAAGATGATAAAATCTAAAAGGAATAATAATAGGAAAATGGTTTTGATTTTGTGGGCTTTGAACAATTAGTAAGCCAGGCCCAAATATTCTCAAACACACATATTTTATTAAACAAGCCCATATTTTCACAAACATCAAACGCAATAACCCTAGCGTTTTAGTTAAAATTTTATCGTGGCCGATTATCTAACCTCCATCATCCTCGTATCTTCTACCTTAGTTGCAGACGAGATCTTCAAAGGGGTTATGGTGAATCTGTGATGATTGTAAGGGAACCGAAGAAACCGTTCGGTTATGGGTTGCCGAACCGAACCGACCCGAAAACCGAAGGCCATTTCAAATCCCGCCGATCGGTTCGCAGCTCAAAACAAAACTCAAACCGAAAACCGAAAATGTCGGTTTGTTAGGTTCGGTTTGTTCGGTTTTCACCGAATGCCCAGGCCTAGAAAATTATGTGGATCAAAGTACCACAAATTTTGAGTGAACCAAAAACAAAAGGTCAGAGATAGAAAATAGTATGTATGTAATAATTAAGAATATACTTAAGAGATAAAAATAAATATTAATGGGAGATGGGTGGGGAATGAATAGATTGGTGTCTTCGTCACTTTTTTTCTTTTTTATTGTTTGTTTGTTTGATAGTACCAAGAGATCCTCTATTCTATTCTTTCATGATGGTTTATTTTAGGGTATATTACGTGACCTGTAGTTCATCCTCTCCAACTCTCAAACCCACAAAATTATTCATTACATATCCACAGATTATTTATTCAAGAATATTAAACAAAATTTGATTTTATTTGATTTGATATGACTAAAGATCTCTATACACGTGTGTATATGTATGTAACAGAAAGGTGCAAGGATTTTGGTGTGGCACCACCTCCACCTTCAAGACTTTTTTTTATCAAGACCTAACTCTTACCACTTTGAAAGCAGCTTATCTTATTTCTTCAGATAAATAATTGATAAGCGAGTGCTTTAAACTTCACAAAACTACAATAACTATTAACTACAATCTACTTTTATTCAATAAAACAAAATATTTTATTAGTCTTTTTCATTAGGGTCCCAAATGATTAATATGTTCACGATCACGAAATTTCTTCTTGTGTCCGTAAGCATTTATATTAATCAAACAAAAAGGAAATTTGTTGCTTCCCACAATGGGAAGTGGGAACCTTTGCCATCTTAATAAATGGTTCAAACCTTTTTTTTTTTTCTTTTTTTCTTTCTAATGTGTTTCATAAACACCAGCGACTTTATTGAAAGGAGAACAAGTTAAAAAAAAAAAAAATTAGGAAGGGCAACATTTGTTTTTCTCATCTCTGTAAACTGTAACTGTAAGCAAAATAATCTTTCATATAAATTGTACTAGCACTGTCTGGGAACTGCTACTTTGAAATTTTCTAAACTTGTTTAAAAAAGAAAAAAATCTGAAAAATAACAGTAAAGTATTTGTCGTATAGCCTACTCCACATGAAGAAAAGAATAAAGTAGATCAATAGAATGTAAATCTCTTAATTAATCATGGTTATTATAGAATAATCACAGTAGCAAAAGTGGAATAGAAAAAAAGAATTGGATCCCGTCGGATTCTATATTTTAACATCTCTAAACATTTCAAATCTGCCACACGTGGTCATACTTAATAGCATCCATTAACGAAGTAATAAATTAGTCTATAATAATGTTTAACCAACATAGTATCTGTAGATCCATGAATCATTGGAATAACATCATTGTTTCATAATTACGTTTAACAAACATAGAGAAAATACTCCAAATAACTAATCATAATCATAACAAACTTTTAAATGTAATGTTATGAGATAAAAGTAGAAAATAATTTCATATATTATATATATATATATATATATATATATATATATATTGGTAACACCGTAACAATGTTAAATATTTATATCAATTTTAGATTTGTGACAAAGATGATAAAAAAATGAGTAAAGTAGAAAAACCGAAAACTACAAAAAAAACGATAGAACGAAAATATAATAAAGAAAAACACAAGCAAAACCACCAGTGAATGCTCAACGAAAAAACACCGATTTCAAACCGCGAAACTTGGACATTTGTGTGCTTGTCTCAGCTCAAAAGAATTCGAGCCCTCATTATTGTTGATACGAGCACTCTATCTGAAGCAGTCTTTAAATGAAGGAACGCTTACAGCTTTTCTGAATACTAACACAAAAACGAAACTAAACTCGGCGGCACAAGAGCACCAACATACAACCAGAAAATCCACCTTTAGCCACCAATCCCGAGTATGACGCAGCAAAAGACGACTCCCACGGGCTTAAGAAGATTTGTTCGTCTTATGATTTCAAATATGCTAGCAAGTCTTTGGTAATTGGTAGTATGAGATTATTGAGATCTATAGAAGCCTAATTTGTTGTATACATGATTACCGGTATAACTTTTTTTTTTGTGAAACTTTACCGGTATAACTTACATTTTTCATGGGATATAAGTATCATCTCGAGCAACACTTGTTTTCGTTCAAAATTGGTTATGCTTAATCATATATGTCAACAAGAAAAAGTAGTTCGTTTTCAACTGAAAAGGTTCCAATGATTTCTAAATTCGAATCATATTTTTTATTCGAATTGGACTCTAAAATTAAGGACTAAAATACGTCACTATAGTTAGAGGAAACATTTACACATATGTGTTTGTTTTTTTGGAAGTATGTCTATGATACGATGGAAGTTGTTGTTCCTTTTGTGTGGATAAACATCATTTTTTTCGTGACGTGATTTTTAAATTTGTTTTCAATTTTCAGTATTCATTTTTTCTCTCTTTGTTATTCCTTTTTATTCGCATAATTGTTTCTAAGGATTACTATTGCCTTTTTGTTATTTTTTATAGGGACACTATCTTATATATGGTGTCAAGTGTCAACAAGCATGTACACTACTTCCCACTACCGCGTATTGTCACAGAATGTTTGTTACGCGTGCTTTTATATCCTTTTTAGAAAAAATATATATCTTCAATTATGTAAGACAATTTTATAGTTGCTGTCAAAAAGAGAAATACAAAAGACAGTTTAATAATGGGTTATATTAATCTAAATACATAGATGACTTGGACCGACAAAATATAATAAATGTGATACTCAAGGCCCTGCCACAGTTGGTAAAATTGAAACATTGGCCTATCGCATCAATTTTTTTGAAAATATTAAAGGCATCTTTTTTTTTTTTTCTTTGATAATCCAGTATCCAGACCACACAGTGATCTGACTAGTCCACTGTGCCTAAGTCCACGTCACAGGGATTTTTAAGCCTCCACTTAAGGACCCCCTGATAAATTGGTGGTCTGGGGCGCCTGAGCAAGTCCGCATGTAAATTCTCAGGTGACCACAGGAGTGAGAGAGCGAAACTGCATCTGGGGAGGATCGATCCCTGGCCTAGACCAACAGGGCGATTCTTCCAACCAAACGAGAACCACTCGCCCACCACCATGTGGTTAAAGACATATATTTTGTCCTAAATAATAAAACTTTGAATAATTTATGGTAGTTAGGGTACGTAAAACATAGGTTTCTAAATATTGTTTAGCAATTTATATATATATATCCAGAGCCGTAGTGGAATAGAAGCGGATGAGGCAAGGGCTGCGGCCCTTGTTATGTTTAAAAGAATTTTCGGCCCTCAAAACAACAAGAATTACTTTAGCTTAGTGGCTTTGCTAGGTATTTTCTAGTAAATGAACCTGAGTTCAAGTCTCTATTAGTGCGTTATGTAACTTTTTTTTTTTATAAATGTTTAACTTAAAAAAATAATTAAAATACGTGACTCAAAATAATTAGAGCGACCTTTTTTTTTGCTCACGTGTGGCCCTCAAAATCGTTGCTACGGCTCTGTATATATCATTGTTAATTGTTAAATATTGTAGTTATTAATTAGGATAACAAGAAAGGTTCGTTATGTTTGTCTCTTTCGTAAGATCTTATGATTGTTAAAGGATGATTTTATAATCACAAAAACATATCTTTTTCTTCATATTTTTTTTTTACAAGTTTTCTTTATTTACATTGTTATCTAAATATTTTGCATTCAATTTTTTTTAATATATTAGGGCGTTTTATTTTTAACAGCTTCCAACGTCTATTATTGTTGGCACGCTCTGGTGATACTACTATAGCTTATACAAATCCAGTTATTCACATAAGTAAATTCTAACGAACCTCATCACGAATTAGATACTTTAACTAATCTTAGCATGGTTCAACGAATTAATTAATTATTTTTTCTAATTCTGATGTTTATTTCTTTATTTTTTATGCTAATAATATTTGTCCGGCATGTAATTTAAAATTACTAAAAACAGTAATAGTTATCAATATAAATGATCATAGAATTTTATACTCTTCTTTTTCTTAATTTTCTTTTTTAGGTAATACAAGTGTTTTACATGTATTTTTACGTCACAGAAGTCAGAAAAATTCGTTTACGAAACGGGCCGATCTATAACTATTGGGCCAGTAGGTCCAATAATTAAGCGCAGTAAACGTTATGCCGATTGAAGTTTCAAGATGAAAAACGTGTGCTGTTTTGAGAACACAAAAACAGCATAAACAAACGAGAACCTCTGGGAACTTAAATTTCCGTAAATACCCTCAGTCTCCCATCATATTTTCGAAAGACTACCCTCCCCCTATTTCCATGGCCCTTCTCTCAGTTTTCCCGCGACAAATCCTCTCCTTCTTCCATAATCATCAAAAACAAAATGCAAAACCCAAAAAAAAAACAAAAAAAATCTCACGACGCAACGAAACCTCCCTAACCTCTCTCTCTCCATCAATCTCAATCGTTAATGCGGAATCCGATTTAACACCGGAATCCGCCATGGAAGATGAATAAAATCCGGTCTCTCCGCTGCCTCCTCCCGGAGACCATAACCTCCGCCGCCTCTAATCGAGGATCTGACGGTAGCCAAGTCAGCGCCCTCCTATGGCGGCATCAGATCCTCGACCCGGACAGCAACATCGTCACCTATTGGAACCACGTCTTTCTCATTACCTCAATCCTCGCTCTCTTTCTCGATCCTCTCTACTTCTACGTCCCTTACGTCGGAGGTCCGGCGTGTCTCTCCATCGACATCAGCCTCGCCGCTACAGTCACTTTCTTCCGTACAGTCGCCGATATCTTCCACCTCTTGCACATCCTCATGAAATTCAGAACCGCCTTCGTCGCGAGAAGCTCTCGAGTTTTTGGTCGCGGTGAGCTTGTTATGGATTCTAGAGAGATTGCTATGAGATACTTGAAGACAGATTTCCTCATTGATGTCGCCGCCATGCTTCCTCTTCCTCAGCTTGTAATTTGGCTAGTAATTCCAGCCGCTACAAACGGGACTGCTAATCATGCCAATAGCACTCTCGCACTTATCGTTCTTGTTCAATACATTCCAAGATCATTCATCATATTCCCTCTCAACCAAAGGATTATCAAAACAACCGGGTTTATCGCCAAGACTGCTTGGGCTGGAGCTGCATACAACCTCCTCCTCTACATCCTTGCTAGTCACGTAAGTTTTCTTTGTCTTTCTCTCTAGGTTTCTTCAGTTTAAGAATCTCGATTTGTGGGCAGGTTTTAGGAGCAATGTGGTATTTGTCATCAATCGGGCGGCAGTTTTCGTGCTGGTCTAATGTATGTAAGAAAGATAACGCCCTGAGAGTTTTGGATTGTCTTCCTAGCTTCTTGGACTGCAAGAGTTTGCAGCAACCTGAGCGCCAGTATTGGCAGAACGTTACTCAGGTCCTTTCTCATTGTGATGCTACAAGCAGCACTACCAATTTCAAGTTCGGAATGTTTGCTGAAGCCTTTACCACTCAAGTTGCTACAACAGATTTTGTGTCCAAATACTTGTATTGTCTTTGGTGGGGTTTAAGAAATTTAAGGTATGACAACCTTTGATCCAACCAATATTTGTTCTCTATCTTAGATTTGTCTTCCTTTGGTTCTAATAATGGTTTTGTTTCACAGTTCTTATGGCCAGAATATAACCACAAGTGTGTACCTTGGCGAGACCTTGTTCTGTATAACAATTTGTATTTTTGGGTTGATTCTCTTTACACTCCTGATTGGTAACATGCAAGTAAGATTCAGAACTTATCATCACTCTGCAAAACTTTTCAATACAGAGACATTGTTTTGTCTTTCTAACAAAAGGCTTCGTGATTTTTAATTTGGTGGAAAGTCTTCTCTACAATCGATGTCAGTAAGAGTTGAGGAATGGAGAGTTAAGCGAAGAGATACTGAAGAATGGATGAGACATCGTCAACTACCTCCAGAGCTTCAAGAACGTGTCCGAAGATTCGTTCAATATAAATGGCTTGCAACACGAGGTGTCGATGAAGAATCAATCCTCCATTCATTACCTACAGATTTACGCCGCGAAATCCAACGTCATCTTTGTCTCGCCCTTGTCCGCCGGGTACATTATATCAACTCTGTGTCTCAAAAACTGTTATTGTTTTCCAATTCACAAGTGACACGGTTTTGCTATGTGCAGGTCCCATTCTTCTCTCAAATGGATGATCAACTTCTTGATGCTATATGTGGATGCCTTGTCTCATCTTTAAGCACAGCTGGGACCTACATATTTCGTGAAGGTGATCCGGTGAATGAGATGCTATTTGTGATCCGAGGACAAATAGAGAGCTCAACAACAAATGGAGGAAGATCTGGTTTCTTTAACTCCACTACTCTACGACCTGGCGATTTCTGTGGGGAAGAACTTCTTACATGGGCCTTAATGCCAAACTCTACCCTCAATCTTCCGTCTTCAACCCGAAGCGTCCGTGCACTCTCTGAAGTCGAAGCCTTTGCCCTAAGCGCAGAGGATCTTAAGTTCGTTGCTCATCAGTTCAAGCGTCTTCAAAGCAAAAAGCTACAACACGCTTTCAGGTAAAACATACATAGGAGTCCTATATGATAGGATTCTTCCAGTCATAACATGATATGACGATCCCCCGGTCGGAGCTAAATCAAATTTCATACGTTTATTTTTCAGGTACTACTCACATCAGTGGCGAGCATGGGGGGCATGTTTTGTCCAATCCGCATGGAGAAGATACAAGCGAAGAAAGCTCGCGAAAGAACTCAGCCTTCATGAAAGTAGCGGATACTATTACACGGATGAAACAGGTTACAATGAAGAAGACGAAGAAACTAGAGAGTATTACTATGGAAGCGACGAGGAGGATATGGAAGGCGGATCAATGGACAACACAAACAACAATCAAAATCTTGGAGCAACGATCTTAGCATCTAAATTCGCGGCAAACACGAGAAGAGGCACAAATCAAAAGGCTTCAAGTAGTAGTACTGGTAAAAAAGATGGATCTTCAAGCAGTTTGAAGATGCCTCAACTATTCAAACCAGATGAGCCTGATTTCTCTATAGATAAAGAAGACGTTTAAAGTGTAGACATTATGAGCAAAAAACTTGTGTGAACTGTTTCGTTTTAGATGGTACATAGATAGGAAATCCCATAAATTATTTGAACTTCTAATTTTTTTCTTTTCTTTTTTTTTTGTTTCGGTTTGGGAATGTTATTAGATATAGAAAACGAGTGTAGAGTAATAATACATTGTTATTAAACTGTCTCATGTTGTAAACTGTGTTGTTCTATTGATTAATGAATGAGATTTCGATACATATATATACATGATGAGGGGAGACAAATCCCCATTGGGCTAATAAACCCTAAAGCCCAAAAGCCCACTAAGTACAATATAGGCCGTCATAAGGAGAATCTTCAAGAACATGGGCATGGGCCTTCTAGGACATGGACATGGGCCTTCTAGAATATGCATAAGGTCCACGGTTATGGAGTCCATCCAACATGTGGTTTATAACACTCCCCCTTGGATGACATAACCGTGTAGATGCCAAAGGATCTCAGTAATACGCTTGGGGATGCTGCCTCATTAAAACCTTACCAGGAAAACCCATTGGGACAAAACCATGGTTAAGGAAAAAGAGTACAGCACGTATTACTCCCCCTGTTTTGGTCATCCCTGCAAGTCCTTAAGTCTCCGCATTCCAATTTGATGCGTGAGCTTCCTCAATGTCGATGTTGGTAATGCCTTGGTAAAGAGATCGGCTGAGTTGTCGCTGGATCGAACTTGTACCACTCGAACTTCTCCATCCCTTTGCAAGTCATGCGTGAAGAAGAACTTTGTTAGAATGTGCTTCGTCCGATCTCCCTTGATGTAGCCGTCCTTGAGCTGAGCGATACAGGCTGTGTTGTCTCCTCATATGATGGTCTTTGATGTTGTAGTAGCTGCGCCTTGAAGAAGGCTGCCTACGTACCCTTGGAAGGGATCAAGCCACACGTAGTTCCTATCTATTGACCATGCCATAATCTGATTTTACCTGCATCAGCAAAACAAACTAAACCAAAGCAAACTAGACCTTCTTTGGTTAGATCAGTATAGAATAAAACCCAAATAAACAAACATAGGAAGAATAGAATTTAAAATTTAACCAAACCTTCTTTCAAACCTTTCTAGTGCCTTTGGGTTGATCATGAACTAAATTTAGGCAAAGGAGGTTCACGGCAAAACATATGTCTGGTCTAGTGTGGCTAGCCAAGTACATTAACGCTCCTATGGCACTAAGGTATGGCACTTCAGGATCGAGAACTTCTTCCTCATCCTTCTTTGGACCGAATGGATCACTATCCAATCCGAGGCTTCTCACCACCATTGGGCTGCTCAATGGGTGGGCCTGGTCCATATTGAATCTCTTGAGTACTTTTTCAGTATATGCCTTTTGATGCACAAGGATTCCATTATTCACGTACTCAAGTTGCAATCCCAAACAGAATTTTGTCTTGCCTAGGTCTTTCATCTCGAATTCTTTCTTTAGATATTTGACTGTTTGGGCGATTTCCCCAGAGGTTCCAAGGATGTTCAAATCATCCACATATACTGCTATTATCACAAACCCTTCGTTTGCAAATTTCTTTATGAAGATACATGGACTGATGGGATCATTCTTATAACCTTCTCTGACTAGGTACTCGCTTAATCTATTGTACCACATGCGTCCACTTTGTTTCAGTCCATAAAGCGATTTGTTCAGCCTTATGCAGTATTGGTCTCGAGACCCTTTCTTATCTTTATCTTTGAGCTCAATACCCTCTGGTAATCTCATATATATCATCCAGTGGACTTATATAAATATGCAGGCATTACATCCATTAGCCGCAAATCAAGTCTTTTTCTTTATATAGCCAGACTTAGCAAAATTTAAATGTCTTAGCATCCACCACAGGGGAGTATGTTTCTTCATAATCTATCCCCGGTCTTTGTGAGAATCCTTGTGCAACAAGCCGTGCCTTATATCTCACGATTTCATTATTCTCATTTCTCTTCTTCACAAAGACCCATTTGTGTCCTACTGGTTTTTACATCGAATGGTGTCCTTAAGGTCGGACCAAACTCATTCCTTTTCTTAATGATTCTTAGCTCCACGTTTTATGGTCTTGTACCATTTAATCAATCAAGTCTTTGAGTGCACTCTAGTATAGACGTGGGCTCCTGATCCTCATTTATATTCATAAATTCAAGTGCTACCTTGCATGCAAAATCATCTTATGTCGACATTTCTTATATGTTCCATTATGTTCCAGACATGATATAATCGATTTGAGATTTATTATGGTCAGGACCTATAATACTTTGCAGCTTGGCGTCCCAAGCTACATTATATGGTACCTGTACCTTAGAGCCGGCCGGCCTTATCTCCATGTCTGGGATGGTTTCCTTAGTAACCTCGGATTCCTATTGCACCTTTCTTTGATTTTCGAGGATTTTTATCTTTGGAACCTATTGGTCTACCACGTTTCTTTCGTGTGTTAGACTTGGTAGCAATTTCATTGATTCGCTTTTGGATATCAATACGTACTGGTGCATTACAAGCTGGTATGTACGTTTTTGTAACTTTCTTTGGGTCAGCAAAGGAATCTGGCAATTGATTAGCTAGCTTTTCAAATGTATAATCTTATGGACCTCTGATTCTCATGCCAGAGTCCGAGGATCTTGCCAATTTAAGGATGTTTGATTTCATTATATTTCTTTTATTGCTTTACCCAGCTTGTTCGTCTCTCCACCTATAGTAGGAAATTCGGATTCATTCAAATGACAATCCGCGTATCTAACCTTAAATAGATCACCCGTAGTTGGCTCTAGATACTTAATAATGGTGGGAGAATCAAATCCAACATATATTCCCATCCTCCTTTGAGGTCCCATCTTTGTTTCTATGTGGTGGAGCAATCGGTACATATATGGCACACCCGAAAGTCTTTAGATGGGATATGTCTGGCTCATGACCCATAAGTAATTGGGATGGTGAATATCTATGTTCACTAGATGGCCTTATGCGTATAAGTTCTGATGCATGTAAAACAGCGTGTCCCCAAGCGGCTACTGGGAGCTTCGACCTCATGAGTAATGGTCGAGCTATCAATTGAATTCGTTTAATGAAGGATTCCGCTAATCCATTCTGTGTATATACATGTGCTACGGGATGTTCCACACTTACCCCCATGGACATACAGTAGTCATTAAACGCTTGGGACGTGAATTCACAGGCATTGTCTAGACGTATAGTCTTAAGCGGAAAATCTGGAAAGTGGGCTCGCAGTCTTATTATCTGGGCCAATAACCTAGCAAACACTTGGTTTCTAGTAGATAGGAGACAAACATGCGACCATCTTGTCGATGCATCAATGAGGACCATACATATATCTCTTTGTATCCTTTCCAGAAATTTTAAGGTCTCTTTATTTACCTTAGCCGGTGATGGCCTTATAATGAGTTTCCCTTGTGAACATGCTTCACACGTGAGATTCTTAGGGATAACTCTTTTCTCTCTTAGGGTGTGCCCCTTTGAATTAGTTATTAGTTTACGCATCATACTATGACCCGGATGGCCAAGCCGGTCATGCCATAAAGTGAATTTCTCGATGAACTCTTTGTTCATTGCCATATTAGCTTCGATCATATCGATTTTAGCATAGTAGAGACCAGTGGATAATGCGGGTATAGTCTCTTAGGACTTTCTTATGTCCTTGGGTGATCTCAATTATATTTAGGAATTCTTTGTTCCCTTCACCCTTTGTTTCAATATGGAAACCATTCAATCTTATATTTTTGAAACTTGACAAGCTCCTCTTCGAGCTGGGTGAATATAGGGCATCGCTTATTTCAAGATGCGTGCCCTTTGATAAAAGTATATGGGCATGACCATGGCCCTCAATAAGACTAGCTATACCCGCTATGGTGCTAATATTGGCATTTTTCATTATGAGATTTAGGAAAATATCTCTTATCTTTTGTGTGGCTCCACTATCCACCACAATTATGTTCTTGTCCTCGGCCATTTCTTATATGGACAAGAATCATGTTCTAAACATAAAATAATATAAAATAAATTCAAGCAAATAACAATCAATGAACACATAAAATGCAAAGAAAAACATAGAGGTTTTGATGTCGAAGTAAGATTTATCAACTTGATTCTTTTATGCAATCAGAAGTTTCATACTCTATTAGATCATCTTGATCATGTTCACCATCTTTATATACCAAATGGGCTTTAGGATTCTTCCCTTTTACACTCTCTTGATAGAGGTCACAACGATGTTTGGAAGTCCTACATATCTTAGCCCAATGGTTTCCCATTCCATATCTATGGTATACTCATTTGGTCGAGTGTTGTGGTTTGGAAATACCACATCGTCCTCGCCCTCGACCACGGCCGGAATTGGGTCTACATCCACGGTTATAGTGGTTCCCATGGCCGGATGAGTTATAGTGGCCACAACCACGTCCTTTCAATACCACATCTATGGCATACTCATTTGGTCGAGTGTTGTGGTTTGGAAATACCACATCGTCCTCGCCCTCGACCACGGCCGGAATTGGGTCTACATCCACGGTTATAGTGGTTCCCACGGCCGGATGAGTTATAGTGGCCACAACCACGTCCTTTCCATCCACCACGGTCACGGCCGTGTGGTCTATCACTTTAGACGTGGTTAGATTCTTTGGATTCTTTCTTATCCTCTGCGGCCTTATTGGCATTAGGTAATGGGGTTAATCTATGAGGTCGTAACTCACTGTTTTTATCTGTAAGTCATTATTTTTATTTTTTTTTTCATCTAGCAATAGACTCATCCACGGACTTATAGTCCTGGATTATGAGACTCTCAATAAGATGGTGGCTAATATTGTCTTGTATCTATCTTTCTCTCTTGGCATTCTTGCCTTATTAGATACATTCACCAAGTCCTTTTGACTTTAGGATAATCTTAGTATCCATTGCCCATTTTAAAATAATTATCTCCTAAGAAATTTAGGGCAGTAAAGTACAAATTGTAATTCAACATCTACAAGGAAAAGTTTTGAGTCAAAATCATGTAATCGTTAGTGTCATGCGGTATTTGAGACCGAACCATGAATCGATTTACTTAGGGATTTGACTTTCCTCTTTTGCTTAGGATTAGATTTCCTCTTTTTATTAGGATTAACTTTTCCTTTTCCTTTTTAGGATTTACTTTCCTCTTTACTTTAGGATTAATTTTCCTATTTCACTTATGATTTTAGATTTTAAGATTTCCTATTTTAATTAGGATTTGGAAAT